TAAAAATTGAAACATTACCTCGTGTGGTACCTCTTGAATACGATCCAATGCCCGTATATGATCGAGTGTGTCAATTGAAGGAGAAAGGCCGCCGTGGAGACAAAATATCTAGTGAGCAATTAAGCAATCTAAAACTTACTGAGTTATCTACAAGAGCCGTTAAAGGTAAATAGTCAAAAAGCTCGGTAAAAAACTTCCATACATTTGCATTGCCATATTTTCGAAGACATTCATCATAAAATCCATACACTTGGGTAATCTGACGGCTCTCATGGTTTCCTCGCAAAATAGTGATCCTATCGCGAAATCGAACCTGCGCTGGTAAAAACATTATAGACAAACTTTGAGGGCAACCAGGAGAGTGACTGTCTCCACGGAATAGTAGCCTCGATCAACATAGTCACCCATAAACAAATAATTGGTATCTGGTGACTTTCCTCCAATCCGGAATAATTCCATAAGATCATGGAATTGACCATGAACATCACCACAAACTGTCACCGGATTTCGGACATGCTGAACATTGGACTCTTTTGTGAGTATCTCTTTGGCCTAAAAACTGGAAGTAATTTTGAAAAAGTAACCACCTTATCACAGAGGGTTTTTACTTGAGTTTCTGAAAGTTGCTTACATTCGTACAGCTGCTCTATCCATTGATCCAACTCCTTCGCCTCAGCTTGGTTGTCGCCAGTCATGATTAAAAATCAGTGAAAGAATGGTGATTAGCGTGAAGTGTGGGACAGGTCCTTTGTGAAATTAAAACGCCAAAAATGAACCGGTCTATGTGAATACATTTGGAAATATCTATGTCTATTATTATTTATTTAATATTAATATGTTATTTATACAATTGTACAATTATATTTTATGTACTATTGTATAAATACAATATAGGAAAAGGACCATATTTTAGAAGTTTATCATTAAATTATATTGAAATAGTAGGCGAAACTAAACATTAGTTACAGATTATATGATTTATCATTGATTATGATTAATTGCTCAATTGTGTAAATTTAAATGAGCATGCAAGAGTGTGAAAAGAGAAACTTGGAGAAAGATATCAATAAAAAAAATATCACTAATAAAAAAGTTAAGATTAGGGAAGGAATACTCGCTCTGTTTGTGAGCACTTTGATCTCACAAACATTTGGCACATTTATCTAGAGATAAATGGCCAGAGTAAT